AATTACAGTAGTAGGAGTCTATGGTTTTACCCTGTCAGCACTGGGACCTGTGTTAGCTTACATGTTGAAACCACACTATTTTCAGCCTTTAAGAGGTCATTTTACCCTTATACTCTCCTGGCTTGAAACCATACGGTACTATTGACACTTCTTTATGAATATATTTACAGGGAAATGTTTCTTTAACTAGTGTAAAGAAAGTTTAAAGGCAGGAATAGGAGGATCATCTGCTATGTATAGGGTATAGGGCCTAGGCTAGCACGCTGTCCTCAGTGTTCAATAAAAACACAGTAAATGTAAAATAAAAAGAGAGGTCTAACATGTGTGAAAGTCTTGACCAGAATGACCAACAGTGGATGTTGAGGCTTTGGGGGGGGGTTTCATTAGGTTACCGTTACAGTGGCCGGGGTAAAAGCCTTCTCTCCTAATTATCCACAGAGCACTCAGAACACACCCTCCAGCTATTGAGGTGGAATAATACAACACTCCAGCCAGGATATATTTCCCCCCATCTTCAGCCCCAACATCACCCGCCAGCAGAAAAGTGTGTGATCAGAGATTGCCCTTTAAAAATACACACACCCTTCTCAAGTGCACTTCCTTGGCATATAAAGAGAAAGAGCAGCTCAGTGGAATTCCAGCCATCAAATGAGCTTTATTTTAGCATCCATCTGAAATGTGTAACCACATTCAACGTTTTCTATGGCTCAAATCTGGGTAAAACCTGGATCGAGTATGAGGCGCACTGTATTCAGTGACAAGGTCCAAGCCTTTCACATTAAGTTCATGATTCATAGGTAGGGCTCTGTCTTTCCACTGTTAAGAGACAAAGGGGTATCCTAAAGAGACCTCGTTTAGCCTCTATGCATCGGTCAAACACAGTTTACAGTGCACACTACACTACTACTATTGTAATCACTCTCATGATGAAGGCTCTTTATGAAGACATAAATCTGTTAACAAGTAGAGATATCCTGACTATAATATAAGTAGGAAAATGTAATAGCCCTCTACAGAGGACAGGCTTTTCCTCTTTGTGTTATACAGAGGGGAGAAACAGCACCTGAAATAACTAATTTCTTGGTAGGTAGAGTCAGTAGCACATGCGCTGAGGATCATGACAAGTTCGAACAGTTCTGACCTAATTTCTCTCTTCAAGGAAAATACAGGAAGCCATAGAAGAAGCCACAAAGTTTTTCAGCAGCCATCTTTGTCAGTAATATTGATGAAAAGAGCAGCTTCCAGCTCCTTCTCTCTGTTTTTTGCTTACGCTTTGTTTCCTTGTCAAAGACCCCAAATAACAAATTTGTCACTTTACAATACCTATACAGATATCCCTACACCCTATGTAAGATTTTCCTCTACTCTATGTAGAAATACCACACCAATTCAACCAGAGTAGACAGTAGCATATGGATACCGTGTCCAGTAACAAAAGTGGTAGGTTAGGGCTACTGAAGCCAACAGACAAGAAGGGTGGATTTGAGGATTTGTGCCATGGATCTGAGTGAGATGTGTGTGATCCCTGTGGAATTTAAGGCATCCCAGGGAAAGCATAAACTAAAGCACCCGTGTAGAGAGAATAACTTATTAGTGTTCTCAATCTGCTAAAGTAATATATGTAATACATCTATGCCATTTAGCAGAGCCTTTTATCCAAAGCAACTTATAGTCATACGTGCATACATTGTTACATATGGGTGGCCCCTGGGAATCAAACCCACCATCCTGGCGTTGCAAGTGCCATGCTCTAACGACTGAGCTAAAGGGACTGTGGTAGTAGAATATGGTTTACTACTCTCTCACTGACAGAGATAGATGTCTCTCTAGCTCTGAGAATACCTCCATGCCGGATGGTTCTAGTGCTGCTATGAAACCTGGCACCATTCCGTAAATGTTCTTACGAGCCGTAGGAGATCACAGTGGGCCACATGCCAAGAGCCATTCAATGTCATTCATTTCACCATTTATGTTGTGCTATCTAATCAAGTGTGTAGTGCGATTCCACAGTTATGTTGAGCTTTTTAACCAAGAGTTCAGTGCATATAACCCAGTTCCACAGCACTGAGGCGGCTCATTGGAGCCAAGGCAGCACAGCTTTAGGTAGACCAATCTTAAAGGAAAGCAAGATTCTGACCACAAAGAAAACACAGAACACTGACCAACTGTTTAGCCAACTGAGCTCTCTTACATTCAGGATGCAGCCTGCCTGTCTCACAGTAAGCACAGGGACTTAATAGGGACAAATACAAGCAGGCTAACTGACATTTGTAACCTATGACTACTGCTGGATATCTGCCAAATCCTTTTTTCATACTATCTAGGGCCATTTTGAAGAAAGAAGATGTTCAGTTTTTCTGACATTCTCTAATATTCTGAGACTCAACTAACTACCTGACTAACAGTAGTTCTGAGACATGGACCTACAGGAAATGTCACCGTGTTTATTGAGCTATAAGTTCTGACTGATATATCATCAAAGTGGGTCAGGAACATGACCCACAGGTATGCAGGGACATCTTAGGTCAGAGGTCAGATTGAGAGCTAGGTTGTTTATCATTGTTATGGGATGGACCACACAAAACGCATGTGTTTAGCCCAACTAATAGAAAGAGTAGTGGATCATTATTTATTTATTCAACCTGTATTTAGCCAGGTAAATCATTGAGAACAAATGATCTACTGCAATAATACATGGATTGTCACTGAGCCTAATTTAGGTCCAACCTGTCTGTGTCTACAGTGTGTCTTTAGGCTTGGGCCTTCAGGACTGTAGAGCTATAAGGGTATGAGTGGGCAGGATGCCAAGCTCTCCAGGAGCTGCAGTGGGAAACTCTACTTCTCTATTGGTGTGTGTGTGGTACACATAAATAAACACACATACCCCTGCATTATACGCTCCAGCACCACCTCTCTTCACACTCAGAAATCACCCCCCCCCCATCCACACACACACACTCACAGACACCCTGAGCTTATAAACACAGTAACACAGAGTTCAGCACACAGTGCAGGACAGGTCTGCTTTCCGTAGAGCAGAACCACATGAAACAGACAAGGCCTGGCAGAAACAGACCTGGGCTCTACTCTATGCAACATGTCTATAGGCTACATCTGATTGAGCTCAAAGTGAATGCAGCCATAACCCTCTGCAGACACCTTGCGAAATAAGAGTCAAAGTTTAACCATACAAAGTAAAGAGATGCCTGCTGCAAACTGACTCTAGCTCCACACAGAGGGCAGAATAAATAGAGCCTTAGGTTACAGTTACAGTGGGAGATTTGATTTTATTGTACGCAAGCAAAAAGGGCCAAGGCAGGAAAAGCAGATGTTACTGTGTCTATGTCATCAGTCTGCTTTGGTCTCCCCAATATAATTTATGACAGCATCTCACTGCTACTATGGGATGTGCCCTGACCTGCTGAATACATTCCCTAGGTGAGTATACACAGAAATCAGGCCTCAATACGTTCCCTAGCAGTGAGAGAGAGTAAAGAATGGCCCCTGGTTGATTTAGCTCCAAATTTGTAGCAGATGGCGAAGTTACTGTCGGAAGTACTAAACCACTGTCGGAAATGCCTAGGCTTTCTGGGTAAGTGGTGTTGACGTTGGCGTCGGTTCAAATCCTGGGTCCGCCATTGACAGAGATGGACTGTGTTATACACAGGTAAACCTACTGGGCAACTCACTGCAGTGCAGTACAGTAGAGTATAAGCTACAGTACAGTAGAGTACAGTACAGTACAGTCCAGTACAGTCCAGTATAGTACAGTAGAGTATAAGCTACAGTACAGTAGAGTACAGTACAGTACAGTCCAGTACAGTCCAGTATAGTACAGTATAGTACAGTAGAGTACATTACAGTAGAGTACAGTACAGTACAGTCCAGTATAGTACAGTAGAGTACAGTACAGTGGAGTACAGTATAAGCTACAGTGCAGACTACAGTCGATACCACAACAGTATAAGCTTCAGTACATTCCAGTACAGTATAGTAGAGTACAGTAATGTACAGTCCAGTACAGTCCAGTCCAGTGCAGCCTACAGTCCATACCACAACAGTATAAGCTTCAGTACAGTGCAGTACAGTATAGTAGAGCACAGTACCGTGCAGTCTGCAGTCCATAGCACACCCACAGACCACAGCCCAGCTGCATGAATACTGAGTGGGATCCCACCACGGCCACATAAAAGCAGACCACTCCCTCCATGGGGTCAGCTAGTCACTACACTGCCCAGAGATATATGGGCTGGAGGGCTGGAGGTCTTGTGAGAACACTGGCCCCTGTGATAAATCACAATTTCACTGGTTTTAAAAGTGGAAATTACTCATAGCTAATATGAGATCAGAAGGACTCTTTATCTTGATTAAATCTTAATATAGTAAAGATCTCAGCTGGATTACAGTGCATGGGGGGGAAAAAAGTGGTTGAAAGCGCTGCAAATTGGGTTGAAGGGAGACTCAGAGGCAAGCACGAGTTCCTAGAGCGCAACTTGGAAAGGGTTCACTCAGAATTATGGCTTAGAATCACATTGGAAAAACATCTCTAAGAGTTAAATCCTGAATGAAATAAGAAGTAAAATGTATCCAGCAGCACACTGGACGCATAGCCAGTCAATAGCACTTACAGGTTTACACAGGGACTTATGTCTCTCCAAGTTCTGGCCACAGGTGTGGTTTAGAGATGCATATAAAAAATCAAGTCAAGGGAACAAATATGTCCGTCATGATCCTTCATTGAGATCCCAGATCCTGGACTCAGAACCCAGTCAACTCAGTCACCCCAACCTGACCTCTGTTTCACTCCTTATGGACAGATAACAGTGTTATACTCTGCTGCCCTCTGCTGGTTATGTATAACTGATAAAATGTATTTAAGAAAATGTACTGTCTCTTGCATTTGGATGCAGTTGATCTTGAGAACTCTATTGGGGCCGTGGTTGTTTGTGTTTGAAGGTTTGTGTGGAATGATATCAACATTTAATCTCAATGAATTAAACTTAGATTTTCTTTCCTCTGATTCCATCCATCCTGTCACTGTTCTGTTCTATTCTGAGTGGTTTGGGAGGAGTCCACGGGCCTGGCCAGGCCACTGGTAAATGAGTTAAGTGTCCTACCTGACACCTCCCCTCCACACAGATGGAAGTCTCATTCTGGCCACACGGCGTCCCATCGATGACCCTGTCCGACTGACGCACGTAGAAGCGGAAACCGATCGCGCGACAGTTGAGCTCACAATGGTGGTCCTCAGAAACTGAGACAGAGGAGACACAGAAATGAATTATTTGATGTGGTTTAATAGTACAAAACATTATCTCTCTCTGGTAGGGTGCCTGGCAGGGCTGTAAATGTAAATTGTTCAATGTAGGTGGACAAACTGGGTAGACTGCTGCATTAGAATTGTGGCGTGGTGCAGTAATTGTTGTTTTCTTCCATTGAGCCATGCTGCCATCTAGCAACTGATGCGAAGAGTGGACTAAATCCTGGCACGTCCTCGCAATTACCCTGTGATTATCAGTGATGAGTAAATCAATGTTTGCTGTGTGCCTTCTACAGTAATGCTGTGTGGTGAAAGGTAATGCCAAGCAACAACTAGGGATTCAAGGAAAGCTAACCAAATTCCTAATAAATCCAAGGGATCAAGGGAAGTTAATAGGTTCTTTGCTCCTCTCTGGTGATCCATTAGTGCCAATTAGAACCACAGATCTCTGGGTGGTGTCTCTTGTGTGGGAGGGAGGCAGATGCCCTCCAGACCTGGAAACGACTGGGAGTTGGCAGTCAGTGGGGTGAATGTAACGTCAGGTTTGTAATCCACCTGCACTGGGACTTCACTCAGATGTTTTGTGCATTAGCCAATGAGGTTACAAGGACAGCTATTGCTAAAAGTGTTGTAATTGCATGTTCATGTGTTTGAGATAGGTATCAAGCAAACTTGACATCAACTAAAGTGAAGTTATTTTAGCTTTAATCTAGTCATACGTCTGTAGTAAATGCAATTCACTCCAACAGAGAGAAGAAAAACATAAAATGTTAATTAGTGTCCTAAAAGTAATGATCTATCCTTGAGGTGTTTTGACTGTTGCTTGGATACTTAAGACACCTAGATCCAGTATGAAAATGTATGCACTCACTAACTGTAAGTCGCTCTGGATAAGAGCGTCTGCTAAATGACTAAAAATGTAAATGTAAAAATCCCCAAACAGCTCTCTGGCAGCTCAATAAGACCTGGACATTCATCAAAATGGCAGAGACAGGTGACATACTATGGTGCTTACATCACCTCACAGCTTGGATAATATTGTCCAACACCAAGGCAATATGAAAAACATGACGAGACCCACCCATACCTTCATTGAAAGGCTCCCACTCGTACAGTCGACCCATGAAGGGATGGCTGTTGTAGGAAGAACACTGCACCGCTCTGATGTGTCTACTGGCTGGAGGACAGGCCTGGACAGACATATAGACAGATAGAAATAGAGTGAATATGTGTCCCCCGGCCTACTAAGTTCAGACATGGCCACATTCTCCCCCAAGGTAAATTCCAGTCTACGATCACGAACATCTCCACTATTTCTGTCTCAACAGACCTCATCTTTACTAGCCTCCATTTTTTACACTTCATGATTCATTTAGCTGTTTAGCTGTGGGTAACAGTGAGGGATTAATTCATAAATGATCATAAGTGATGACAACAATCACTTCTACATGATAAATAGCCACCTCCTTGCTAAGCCATTCTTACATTGGTGTTGCAAATCTTGTACTGGTTGTGCTCTCCCACACAGGAGGAGGTGGACAGGGGGTTGTAGGGCCGTCCAAAGGGTTGCTGAGCTGCTGAGGCCCGGCTGGGTGAGTGTTGCTGCTCCTGCCTAGGTTGGTGCCCCTGGCTGGGCTGGTAGAGTGAGGAGGACCAGGGTGGGTTAGAATTAGAGTTAGACCTGGGCTGGGGGGCTAGGTTAGGGTTTGAGTTAGGGTTAGGGTTAACCCTGGGCTGGGAGGCTGGGGGCTGGTGATGGACTGGGCTGTAGCTGTGGAGATGTGGGTTGCTGTAAGGTGGACGGTAGGGGTTTGGCCTGTGGCCTCCGTGCCTGGTGGCTGACGGGCTGGGGTCAGAGAGCGGGGAGCGTCTCTGTCTGTGGGAGCGACCAGTTCCTGTCTCTGTCCCAGTCCCAGACGTCTGGCCTGTGTCTGTCTGGAGAGACACAACGTAAGGCATCCTCCCATAGCCATACTTCCCTGGAATGACGGGACTGTCACTGCCCCTCCTGAAAACACACACACACACACACACACGGGTAAAGGGGGAAATTGTCTGTGTAAAATGGCCTCCACTTACGGCACTTGTTTACATTCAAAATGTGTTGACTGGACTATCAAAGACTGTCAAACAAAATGTCAAAGACAAACAACACAAGTGCAAATTACTTCTGAGAAGCGGATGGATATTAGTGGCAGCAAGCAAGCGCCGAGCGGAGACCGCTTTTGTTTGGTGGCTTGGATTCCTACGTCAACAGCCCCCCATTACTCAAGTGTCAGCTCTATTTATTTAAAAGCTTTTTAACTCAAGCACACAGGAAGGAGGCCACAAACCCGCCAAGCACAAGCCGAGCCATTGACTCCATCCATAAAAGAATAGCTTTACACTGAAGGGGAGTCCAAATGGACCTTGGGGTGGGCTGGAGCTCCACAGAGACACTTTTAGACTGGGCTGCTCAGCATGCAGGGCATTAAACACAGGCCAGACTGAAAGACACAGACAGGCCCCTTTCTGTATGGTGTGATAGATACAGTACCTGCGTCCAGCCTGGGCCTGGGCCTCTCTGTCTCTCTGCTGGTTCCTCAGCTCCCGACGGCTGGCCAGGCTGGTGCTGCTATTGTAGGGTGGGGGTCTCCCAGGGTTGGTGCGGTGCAGCGGGACAGTGGGTCTTAGGGCAGACACTACATGGCCAGGGTTCTGGTTGGGGTGCTGGGGGTGGTGGCCACCCGGCCTGGAGGGGTAGGCAGCTGCACCCATGAAAGGGGTGTAGGAGGGTAGGCAGGGTCGCGTCTGTTCCTGAACCCCTCCCCCACAGGAGCGGGAGCAGGAGGACCAGGGCCCCCAGGAGCCCCAGGAGCCCGGGGCCCCACCCTGCCCTCCTCCAGCCTCCTGCTGCTGGGGCTCTGCCCTTTGAGGAACCTGCAGGAAGACACAACATGCTGGGTTCAAGCCCTACACCACCCACAGCATGGATAACATGGCACAGACACCACTTGAGAGCAGAGTAGAGAAGCAACAAAATAACATCATTACATTAGGGGGCTTTCCAGAAATCATTCATCAACAACGGTTTTCTCTCTCCCTTGCTGTGTATGAGATGAGCCTCTGTTCAAGTTGGATAAAGCCCAGATTTGTCTGATTAGAGGTTGTCTGTTACTCTCCCATCCCGTACTGACTACCTGCGTATCCCTCTGTTGACTCTAGCCCTCTGTGTAACGCTGCCAGAGACGTATTAGCGCCTTAGTGGCTTTCACTGCACTCTCTGTCTCAGGACCCTGTGCCAGCCAACCCTGCCCTGCGCCAGCCAGCTATGCCCGAGGAGCCGCAAAGAAGGAAATCCAGCTCTTTAAGAGCCACTTTGTCTACATTCATCCTGTCCTCTGTGAGCTTACACATGCACATGGTAAAGGCTCAGCCTCCCATTGGCCTTTAGAAGACTGTAAGAGAATACCCAAACGGTAGGGATAGTAGGGAGAGTTGGCAGATAGCCATCCTCCTGTCAGTCAACGACATGGGGCTATTCAGAGATCACTCAGACCATGGCCCCCTCCTCGCTGCAGCCTTTGTAACTGTACTCCACTGTCATCTCCAGGGTCAGCCATGGGTCAAACAGCTGGACTCCTGGAAACGCACAGGGCCAACAGAGACAAACTCTCTCCAAGAGAGGAATGCCCTGTCAGACAGTTGTCTGTGATTGGACAGTTAGCCTGTCCATCGACAATCTCCACAAAGTACAGTTATAAATCTTGGTCCATCATTAATTATCTCTCTCTCTCTCTCTCTCTCTCTCTCTCTCTCTCTCTCTCTCTCTCTCCCTCTCCCTCCCTCCCCGACCCTAAGCCTCCCTCCCTCCCTTCCTCCCTCCCCTAAGCCACTCTTCATTTCTCATAGCACTGAGGTTGAAGGGGATGTATTGCTGACAGCAGGCATGATCCTCTATGTGGTCCCGAATGTCTTTTCACCGCTGCTCTCCTGTGAGTGAACAGATTTACACCCAAGTCAGATTCCCCTGGGGGCATCCTTCCTCAATGACTGATTGCATGTTTACATGGGCCAGGATAGACTAGTGTTGTATTTAATGGCTTTGTGGTTGAACAATAACATCATGGCAGCAGACACTATAAACGTCCCCTGTGCAATTGAAAGGATATGCATCCTCTGTGAACTGGAGGGTGCTAATTGGCTACGGTTACGATCGGAAGACACGATCATGCTTTCTTTGGCAGTTCAGATTCTGTGAGTCTGTGCCAACCGGCGTGAGATGATGATAAAGGTGAGAGATAAATGGATTCTCAGGCTGCAAACACACCAGGGAGGTATGTCACCCTGGGCTTGGGGATGTCAAACAGACCACACACATTTTAAAACACAGATACCGTGCCCCCGCACTCAGCACTCAACCCCCTCCCTGCTCCCCTCTGCTGTCCCCCAGCCACCCTACTCACCTTCCTGTGGTCTGTAGTAAGATGGCAATCCAGGGGATTTGGCCTGAGCAGCAGCAGAAGAAGCATGGAAACTCTGTGTGTGACAGATAGCATACTGAGCTATAATACATTTAACAGCATTTTTTTACAGAGAAAAATGATTGTAATCTAAAATGGAGACAATCAAAACAAAACTATGAAATTGAGTCATGCAGAGTGCATGACCAGCAGCTGCAGTGTGATACAACATGTTTTAGATGAGTCTGTTCAGTGAACACCAAGATGATCAGATTGTAATAAGTGACAAGTGATATCTCACCTCAGAAACCAGATACAGAGTTCCCTCATATCTCCTAGATTTTGAGGGCTACAGTACCTAAAAAAGGGATATATTGTATTTGCAGACATAATGACATTAATAACACAGCAATAAAGCAGTAATATCATATTTAACACAAAGCTGTCTCCTCAAGACCACATGCAGTGTCTAGTCTGCTCTTTAGTGTCTCAGTTTGTCTGAAGGTCCTGACTCATGGTCCTGACTCAGGGGAACATGGCTTCTGTCCACTTGACCATGTGTGTTGACCCTTGACCCTAACCCTGGTCCTAATGAGTGGCCCCCCACTGAAACTCAATTTTGAGATGGCTGGACTGCAGTGACACTTTTACCACTGTGCTCCTAGTAAAAACTAATCTGTGATGTATCTCTCAAAATAAACCTCACTTGGTATGATGAATGTGGGGGTTCAAAGATCACTTCCACTTAAACATAGACCTATCTGTTTTGTTTGTCTCACACTGGTGCAATTCCACTCCATGTGAGGTTTGGAAAGTTCCATTGTCATTAAATAAATAATATTCACAATATCTATTTACTTTATTTGCACAATAGCCTAGAATTGAATTTATCCAAAAACATGTAGGCCTATCACTTCAAACTTCTTTAAAACGTATTATGAGGCTGGGCTATTACAAATATTATTTAGTTATGGTGAACAACATCATAATTGCAGGCATGTCTATATCTGTGCTATCAACAAATAGAATGCTGGCTGCACCCAGTGCAGAAAGATCGACCTTCTGTCAGGCACGACAGGAACGGGACAGGAGGCTCTCGTCCAGGCTGAGGGATTTGGACTTGAAGTGTGAGCGCGCAGTAGTTGTATTTGTATTTATTATGGATCCCCTTGGCAGCAGCTACTCTTCCTGGGGTCCAGCTAAATTAAGGCAGTTATACATGGTAGCGAGCCGTAGGGAGACAAATTTAGCAATTTATGAGAAACATAACATGTAGGCTACCATTTTAATTGTATTTGAAAGAAATTAGTCGACAAACAAAAACATTATAAGCATAATTGTGTAAACTACTAAAATTGCAATCATTTCATCAATTGCTTTATAATGTTTGCTAATGTATTATATGATTATGATTATGATTAGGCTATTATGATTATTATTAGGCCTATATTATTACACTTCCATAAAACGTAAATTGCTCTGTTCCTACCTTGGATGACTGTGCTTGTGTTTGCTACCTCGATGTTTTCTCCAGTGCAGTATTGCTGCTTCTCAACGGTAAATTGTGGCGCCTTGAGATTCATAAACATGCGCACCAGTTATCCTCATAATCCGAGCGCATCGACGAGTTCAATCCAGGTGTAAAAAGATTACTACCACCGCATCAATTAATCAATTTTAAAACCGCTCCAAATATCCCAAACGTTCTGTACACGCGCTGGTCACTAATCAACATGACATATTCCGTTCACTCTCTCTCTCTTTCTCTCACACTCTCTTTCTCTGGCGTCCTGAAACGCACTTCTACTCAGAGAGAATGAAAGCCATGGGAACGACAGAGAAGAAAACAACTTGTTGCGCCCCCTACTGCCTCTCTCACTCTCTCTAATGGAAATAGAACCGAGAGAGAGACAGAGACAGACATACACTGAGTGTACAAAACATTAAGAACAACTTCCTAATATTGATTTGCACCCCCCCACCTCAGAACAGCCTCAATTAGTCAGGGCATGGACTCTACAAGGTGTTGAAAGCGTTCCACAGGGATGCTGGCCCATGTTGACTCCAATGCTTCCCACAGTTGTGTCAAGTTGGCTGGATGTCCTTTAGGTGGTGGACTATTCTTGATACACACGGGAAACTGTTGAGCGTGAAAAACCCAGCAGCGTTGCAGTTCTTGACACAAACCGGTGCGCCTGGCACCTACTACCATACCCTGTTCAAAGGCACTTCAATATTTTGTCTTTCCCTTTCTCCCTCTGAATGACACACAGACACAATCCATGTCTCAAGTGTCTCAAGGCTTAAAAATCCTTCTTTAACCTGTCGCCTCCCCTTCATCTACACTGATTGAAGTGGATTTAAACAGTGATTCACCTGGTCAGACTATGTCATGGAAAGAGCAGGTGTCCTTAATGTTTTGTACGCTAAGTGTACAGTATATATACATTTTGAAAAGTTTTATTAACTAATAAATCTGTCCTAGTTCCTAAGGTTTTTCAGACTTTCATCATCATCTATAAGATATGTTCTCCTCCTACTGTATAGTCTTTGAGTCTTTCTCTCCTGGGTGGTCACTACCATTCTCTCACTGCTGAAATATGGACCATGACAATTCTCCATGACTACAGAGGAAGCATGCTGTAACATGCGCCCAGATTGTAGAGACCAGACTAGGTAAGGGCTATCACTGTCATTACTGCAAGTGCCATAGGCTTGACAACCGCAACCAATTCATTTTTACACAGGATAATCATTTGTCACCCTTTAAACCAACACAAAGGTCAAAGTTATCCAACTGCCCCACTCAGTCATTTGGTGAAAGACCAAATACAATGTAAAGGGTCAGGGTGAAAAGAGTGTGTGTGTGTGTGTGTGTGTGTGTGTGTGTCTGTGTGTGTGTGTGTGTAACTGAAAGTCTCACTACGTAAAATGGCCTGTTTCTTGCTCTATCAAGTAAATAAAATATACTGTGAAGGTCAATGGCATTGTTCTTCTTGGATTGCAGAGTTGCCTAATTTGAGTGGATGAATCAAGGTCATGCTTGGTTGAGCATGCATCCTAAATGCCATCGTTTTCTTACTGGCTTTCATTGTATAATATGTATACTGTGTGACATATGTGTCTCATCATGGCCTTTGTGTCCAAAGGTGCCGGCTATCATAATGGCTTCATTCAATGGTGGGACCATGTTGATGCTGGCTGTGAATTTGCCTTTAACCCCTATGTTTCCAAACCGTGGTCACGGGTGACCGCACCCAATTATAGCAACTTAATGAACTACTGTTCCGGTTGACCCATTCAAACTATACAAGGAAACGGGTTCGAAAGGAGAGCTGTTCTACATGGTCATCGGACAAAAATGTGAATCCCCTGCCATCCAACGTACAGTACAGTCAGCACTGCAGCTCACAATTAACAATGTGCTAAGCTCATTCCAGGACCAGGGAAAAGTAATACTCTGTCCTATGAAGTGGAACCAAGTGAAAGCCATGTGTCCAGATAATACATTATAAGGAGGTGGTGTCTCAATGGGATGGCTTTACGAGCAGAAACAATAGAACACACTTAAAAGCTAACTCCTCATCAGCAACACCTCAGACTCTCAATCCCTCCTTTGCTTGAGAAGTAAAACAGTTTTCTATGGGATACCTCTGGTCCATTCACCCATACATAAACACATTGCTATCTTAACTGGTATCAAATATCTCTATTTGCTGTATGATAACTGTACAGATACATATTTTGATATACATGAGTGAACTGTTAGCAGAGGCTACTATCAGAGCCAAAAGAGCTTGTTTGTTTACAGTATACACTGTACTTAATCCTGTGAAAAACATCCTGCATGACAAGTATATAATACAACACAGGCTTACTGCCAGTTTCTGTCGTCACATCCTCTATTTGGAGAAGTATCAATGCTTATAAACAAGCTATTACAGTGGAGACAGATAATACACTCTGATTTGAGGATAAATTGGATGGATAAAAAGTTATTCCTCTGTCATGATAGTCTATTGTTTTGATAATACCCCACACACTGTTGGAATTTCACTTTCAATGGTTGTGCAGGCCACCATAATGCATTCTGCTAATATACTGAACAAAAATATAAACGCAACATGCAACAATTTGAATGATTTTACTGAGGTACAGTTCATTTAAGGAAATCAGTCAACTGAAATAAATAAATGAGGCCGAAATCTATGGATTGCACATGACTTGGGAGCCAGGCCCACCCACTGGGGAGCCAGGCCCAGCCAATCAGATTGAGTTTTTCCACACAAAAGGGCTTTATTACAGACAGAAATACTCCTCCGTTTCAACAGCTGGTCTCAGAACATCCCGCAGGTGAAGAAGCCAGGTGATGTGTAGGTTCTGAGCTGGTGTGGTTACACGTGGTCTGCGGTTGTGAGGCCGGTTGGAACTACTGCCAAATTCTCTAAAACGATGTTGGAGGCGGTTTATGGTAGATAAATGAACATTCAATTCTCTGGCAACAGCTCTGGTGGACATTACTGTAGTCAGCATACCAATTGCAAGCTCCCTCAAAACTGGAGACCTCTATGGCATTGTGTTGTGTGACAAAACTGCACATTTTAGAGTGGCCTTTTATTGTCCCCAGCACAAGGTGCACCTGTGTAATGATCATGCTGTTTAATCATCTTCTTGATATGCCACACATGTCAGGTGGATTGATTATCTTGGCAAAGGAAAGACGCTCACTAACAGGGATGTAAACAAATGTGTGCACAAAATTTGAGAGAAAAATACTGGGATCTTTTAGATCAGCTCATGAAACATGGGACCAACACTTTACATGTTGCGTTTATATTTTTGTTCAGTATACATTTCCCTAATGTCTGAATAAGTTCAAGAATTATGCATGAAGAGTAACCTTGCCTAAGACCTTGAGACTCATGATAGCACTCAGAGCTCATGCTCAGTGGGTTTATGCAGTCAAGATTCACACAGACGACCTGGGTTCTAAATGCATGTGACAATCATTCTCACGGGGTCCAATATTTATTCACCCTCAACATTTTATGTTTCTCTCTTACCTGAGGGCTTTTTCCTTTGCTGGTATCAAAGGATTTGGGTGGATTAAGGTGAAGATTCCTAATTGACAGCAACACCTACATGGCAAGATACGGTATTAATTAACATGACAGATCCTATGCAGCTCTTTGATACTACAAACATATGGAGGACTAAAAGTGCCACAATTAAATAAATAAATACACCATTAAATAATTACTTAAATGTGTCATTAATTAATTAAAATTAGAATTAAATACATAAATGTGTTATTAAATGTGTCATTAATTAATTCAAATACCGATTCATTTTATGTAAAATACATATATAATAATTTCACTATTTACATTTACATTTCATGGTCCTGCGTTGGAGTGCTTCCTGAATTACTTAAAACTGTCAAACTGACCCATCAAAAGTTGGTAGGCGGAACCTAACGCCTGATTGGTTACCCTCTGCATCAAGCCAAGACAAATCAATTCCGGATAATGTCAGCAGGTCCTGCTTCTACATCCTCTGCTAAGTTTAAAATGTCTCTAACCAACTCCCTGGAAAGTTCACGGAGATCCTCCATTGTCTCTATCCAGGTTGGCCTACTCTACTTCAGACCAAAGCAATGGATCAGACTAGATTCGCGTTAGCCCCGCCCACTGACTTTGATGGGTCAGTTTGACAGTTTTAAGTAATTCATGAATCACTGCAATGCAGGATCATGAAATGTAAATGTAAATAGTGAAATAATTATATATGTATTTTACATAAAATGAATCGGTATTTGAATTAATTAATGATACATTTAATTACACATTTATGTATTTAATTCTAATTTGAATTAATTAATGACACATTTAAGTAATTATTTAATGGTGTATTTATTTATTTAATTGTGGCACTTTTAGTCCTCCATACAAACACACTGGCTATGTTTTGCTTGTCAATAGCAGAGCTCTCCTTGGCCTGCCTCCACTACAGTGTCAAAGGAGGAACCTTGGGCTGGGCATGATAGAAGTGTGTGGGGAAAAATTCAGCTGGGAATACATTGCTTTGGAAAGAAACTCTACATCTGGTTTGATTTGATACCAGCATCTATCAAAAATGTTCTCAAGAACTCAGTCTGCAGAAGATCTCTTTTATGACCTTGTTTTGCTCACATCAAGATTCTCATGCACCAGTCCAACAGATATCAGAAGGACATTTTCCAATAATGGATTCCAGTACCACATCTTTCAGTCAGTGTAAAAATAATCTTCTAAATAAAGGGTATAGACCAATAAGGCTGGTTATTACTCACTGAGTGGTATGTAAATGTCTGGCATGTTGGAGTTGATGTTGAGTTGACCCCTCAGAGCCCTGGGCCTGGGAAGTGCTGCCCTGCCAGCGGTTCTCATCTGCTTTCCTACAAAGGATTACTTATTACTCTCTCCTCTGATCTACCCTACCTCCCCACCAAGCACAGTGTGTTGTTACTTGTCACCAGGTTCTCTGAGGTTTTCTCCCTAAAGTCTGTTTGTGTGAGTCTGACTCAGTTTTGTCTCCATAAACTGACAACTGTTTCAATACGATTGTCACGACTTCCGCCGAGGCTGCCTCCCCTCCTTGTTCGGGCAGGTTTCGGTGTTCATCGTCACCGGCTTACTAGCTACTGCCGATCCCATTCTCATCACTCTACTTGTCATGTCTTGTCTTGTCAATCACACACACCTGGTGCTCATTCCCCTAATTAGTATGTGTATAAGTGTTCCCCCTGTTCCCCTTGTCTTTGTGAGGAATTGTTTATTGTGAGAGCGAGTAGCTCAGTTGAGCTACTCTTCTATTTGTACTTGCCAAGGTGGAATATTTTCCCTTGTTATAGTTTCGTTTTCACGCTGGGTTTGATTTATGTAAACAGAATAAACTCTGGACTTCGGTGTTTTACCTCCTTCGCCTGACTCCTTCATTCATACCTCGTCACAGAATCACTCACCCGCTGACTGGAGTCAGCAGGAGAAGACCGCATGCCTGGAGTTGTGGCAAGGGTCCAGGAGCATTCCTCGATGCTGGCCAGCTTGGGGGAAGCGATGGATCGGGTTCTTCAGGTAGTAGAACGCCTGGAGAGGAGAGGACCCGATCTATCGAGACCAGCTGGTCAACCGGATCCAGCCACCTACACCCCAGCCCCTGGAGGGATCCAGATATCCCAACCACCGGCGTTTGATGGGACGGCAGCGCGATGTAAGGGATTTATACTCCAACTGGAGTTGTATTTCTCCAGCATCAGGCCAGCGCCACTGGAGCGGAAAAGGTATCCGTCCTCGTTTCCTGCCTTTGTGGGAGAGCCCTGGAGTGGGCCAACGCGGTGTGGAACGAGAGAGGTGCCGCGTTGGAGGACTACGGGGAGTTTGCTCGCCTCTTTCGGGCCATTTTCGATCACCCGGCTGAGGGTCAAGAGGCGGCCGAACGACTGGTCCATCTGAGGCAGGGGACGAGGACCGCACAGGACTACGCGCTGGAGTTCCGGATGCTGGCAGCGGGGTCCGGGTGGAATGAGCGGGCCCTGATAGACCATTTCCGGTGCCACCTAAGGGAGGACGTCCGACGGGAGCTAGCCTGCCGTGATGCCATGCTATCGTTCTCCCAACTGGTGGACATGGCCATCCGGCTGGACAATCTGCTAACAGCCAGAGGACGTCCTGGTAGGGGTCTGCCCGTTCCCACTCCGGACAACTCTGACCCCGAGCAGATGGAGCTGGGGGGAGCCGCCGGTCGAGAGAGCGCAGAAGGACAGCGACAGTGCCACTCTGGTGGCACGAAGGGACAATCCACCTCACGTCGCAGTCAACGTTCTTTTGGGTCTGGAGGCGGTAGGCAGTGTACTCACGCATCACCCCAGGTAAATAACACCCAAACTTGTTCAGAGCCCTTTGCGGTGCACTCTACCCTATCTATCTCCATTCCTGATCACCTGGTAGTTTCCCAGTGTAAGGCGCTAGTCGATTCAGGCGCAGCTGGGAACTTTATGTGCATTTGCATGCCGTCAAAGCATTTCATTGGTTCCCCTATCCATTCCACTCCCCATCAGAGCACTTGATAGTCAACCATTAGGGTCCGGGTTGGTTAAGGAGGTTACTGTACCAGTCACCATGATTACACAGGAGACGCATGTTGAGCAGATCACTTTTTTGATTATTGAGTCTCCTGCTTACCCTGTAGTCTTAGGTATTTCCGTGGTTAGCCCTTCACAACCCCAAATTTCCATGGCTGCAGAGGGTTCTTACGGGGTGGTCGCGTGAGTGTCCGGGTAGGTGTCTAGGTGTTTCCGGTGGTGCAACCACGGTGGAAAGTCCAGACGGTACTCCCACCGTGCGCATTCCCCCCGAATACCATGATCTGGCGCTCACGTTTTCCAAGACGCAAGCGACTAAATTACCACCTCATCGGGAGGGGGATTGCGCAATAAACCTTCGGGTAGACGCTGTACCTCCCAGGAGTCATGTGTATCCCCTCTCGCAGGCTGAAACGGAGGCTATGGAAACATACATCACTGAGTCCCTGCGCCAGGAGTATATACGTCCCTCCACTTCACCTGCTTCCTCAAGTTTCTTCTTTGTGAAGAAGAAAGATGGCGGTTTACACCCGTGCATTGATTATCGACCACTGAATAAGGTGACGGTACGATTTAGTTATCCTCTTCCCCTCATTCCTTCAGTGATTCAGTCAATGCATGGGGCCCGTATTTTCACTAAATTAGACCTCAGGAGTGCCTACAACCTGGTGCGTATTCGGGAAGGGGATGAGTGGAGAAAACGGCATTCAGCACAACCTCGGGGCATAATGAATACCTGGTGATGCCCTACGGTTTGATGAATGCGCCATCCGTTTTCCAGTCCTTTGTGAACTAGGTATTTCGGGACATGCTTGGTCGCGGTGTGGTGGTCTACATCGATGACATCCTGGTGTATTCCTCATGCCAAGGCAGAGAAGTGTGAGTTTTTCCAGCAGTCAATCTCCTTCCTCGGATACCGCATTACTACCACAGGTGTGGAGATGGAGGGAGATCGCATTTCAGCCGTGCGTAATTGGCCGACTCCAACCACGGTGAAGGAGGTGCAGCGCTTCCTTGGCTTTGCCAACTACTATCGGAGGTTTATTCAGGGATTTGGCAAGGTCGCAGCCCCATTACCTCCTTGTTGAAGGGTAGGCCGTCCCGGCTCCGCTGGTCTGCTGAGGCTGATTTGGCCTTCAGTAGATTGCAGGATCTGTTCACCTCCGCCCCGGTACTGGCTCACCCCAATCCATCACTACCGTTCGTAGTGGAGGTGGATGCGTCCGAGGTAGGGATATGCGCTGTCTTATCCCAACGCTCGGGCACGCCACCCAAGCTCCGCCCCTGTGCCTTCTTTTCAAAGAAGCTCAGCTCGGTGGAGCAGAACTACGGAGTTGGTGATCGGGAGCTGCTGGCTGTTGTCCGAGCTTTGACGGTGTGGAGGCATTGGCTCGAAGGGGCGAAACACCCTTTCCTCGTCTGGACAGACCACCGTAACCTGGAGTACATTCGGGCAGCGAGGAGGCTGAATCCTCGCCAGGCCAGGTGGGCCCTCTTCTTCACCCGGTTTGATTTCACACTCTCATACATTCTGGGTACGAAGAACGTGAAGGCAGACGCACTGTCTCGGCTGTATGACACAGAGGAGAGGCCTAGAGACAACACCCCCATACTCCAGGCCTCATGCATTGTGGCGCCGGTAGTATGGGCGATGGACGCGGATATAGCGCAGGCATTACGCACAGATCCATGTTACACTGTCTGAGAGCAGTAGGACATTACACTGTCTGAGAGCAGTAGGACTTTACACTGTCTGAGAGCATTAGGACATTATACTGTCAGAGAGCAGTAGTACATTACACTGTCTGAGAACAGTAGGATATTATACTGTCTGAGAGCAGTAGAAATTACACTGTCTGAGAGCAGTAGGACATTACACTGTCTGAGAGCAGTAGGATATTACACTGTCTGAGAGCAGTAGGACATTACAATGTCTGAGAGCAGTAGGACATTATACTTGAACAACAGTTGCCTCCCCCCAAGATGCTTCTGTTTATTCAGTTGCACAACGAACATTCCATTCAGAAAACCATTCAGATACCTTCAATTCTGAACTCTCCCACTCCGGCAGGTTTCCAGTTTCCCTTTTCACCACTCCTGTTTAGTGCCACAGGTGTCTGCAGTTGACTTTGGAAACCCATGACTGTAAACCATTGACAGCACAGGCTGCGTGGAGAGGCCAGTCAGTCAGTGCCTCTCTACAGAGTAGTTGTAGTAAACCAGTGCAGGTCTGCTCTATCAAAGCCTGCAGGAACATTCCTTTCTGAGTTCAACAGGAGAGAGAGGACCCTCTCCATTGCCCCTGGATGGCCCAGTGCAGGGTAGAGCATGCACAGGGTGTCACGATCGTTTACTGAAGATACGGACCAAGGCGCAGCGTGATAAGCGTACATTTTATTAAGTACTTAACACGACACAAAACAACAAACAAACGATATGTGAAGTCCTAGGTTACACAAAACAAACCTTTACGGAACAAGATCCCACACCGACTAGTGCCAAACAGGCTGCCTAAGTATGGTCCCCAATCAGAGACAACGAGATACAGCTGCCTCTGATTGGGAACCACCCTGGCCAACATAGATCTAAACGATCTAGCACATCAACATAGAAAATATAACAATCAATCAATCAATTTTATTTTATATAGCCCTTCTTACATCAGCTAATATCTCGAAGTGCTGTACAGAAACCCAGCCTAAAACCCCAAACAGCTAGTAATGCAGGTGTAGAAGCACGGTGGCTAGGAAAAACTCCCTAGAAAGGCGAAAACCTAGGAAGAAACCTAGAGAGGAACCAGGCTATGAGGGGTGGCCAGTCCTCTTCTGGCTGTGCCGGGTGGAGATTATAACAGAACCATGCCAAGATGTTCAAAAATGTTCATAAGTGACAAGCATGGTCAAATAATAATCAGGAATAAATCTCAGTTGGCTTTTCATAGCCAATCATTAAGAGTTTGAAAACAGCAGGTCTGGGACAGGTAGGGGTTCCATAACCGCAGGCAGAACAGTTTAAACTGGAATAGCAGCAAGGCCAGGCGGACTGGGGACAGCAAGGAGTCACCACGGCCGGTAGTCCCGACGTATGGTCCTAGGGCTCAGGTCTCTCAGTTGGCTTTTCATAGCCGATCATTAAGAGTTGAAAACAGCAGGTCTGGGACAGGTAGGGGTTTCGTAGCCGCAGGCAGAACAGTTGAAACTGGAATAGCAGCAAGGCCAGGCGGACTGGGGACAGCAAGGTGTCATCATGCCCGGTAGTCCTGACGTATGGTCCTAGGGCTCAGGTTCTCAGAGAGAAAGAGAGAAC